TTCGAAAAGAGATTCATCGACTCATGCAAGTCGACGTGTTGTGAACAGATCTTTGGTAGCGAGTGGTCTTCCCCAGCGTTTTTCTTGAAGAAACCAGATGGACGTCTGAGATTGCTAACTGACTTCAGAGCTTTGAATAAGTTCCTGAAGCGTAACCCATATTACGTACCCCTAATTAGGGATGTTTTCGTTCGACTTGGTGGTGCAAAGTTCTTCTCAACACTGGATGCTAACATGGGATATTACGCTAGACAACTGGCTGAGGAGAGCAGGCCGTTTACTGCATTCTGTACTCCGTTTGGTAAATTTCAGTATAAGAGACTGCCGATGGGAATCTCAACGGCGCCAGACGAATACCAAGCGTGTATGTCAAGAATTTTAGGCGATTTGGACTTCGTTATCGTCTATCTAGATGATATTCTCATTTTCTCCAGAACGGCAGAAGACCATTTGGAACATCTACGAGTGGTGCTTTCACGTTTGCAGGAGTTCAACGTGACACTGAATGGTAAGAAATGCCGTATCTTCTGCTCTAGTGTGGAGTACTTGGGCTTTACCATTAATGCAGACGGGATCAAGCCCCAAGAGAAAAAGATCCAAGCCATTCTCCAAATCCAACGGCCAAAGAATAAGAAAGAGCTACGTCGGGTTTATCGGTATGATAGACTATTACCGGGAAATGATACCGAGTAAGACAGCGATGTTGAAGCCGCTGACGAGATTAACGTCACCGAAGGTTGTATTTCAATGGACATCGAGCGAAGACGACGCTTTTGAAGGGATCAAGATTAGCTTTAGCAAGGGCCGTACTTCTGACCTTTCCAGATTTCTCGCAACCGTTCGAGATTTATGCAGATGCGAGTGGAAAGCAGTTGGGTGGATTGATCGAGCAACAAGGGAAGCTGATAGCATCGTACTCTAGAAGCCTCACTACAGCACAACAGAATTATACAACGACGGAATTGGAGTTGTTGTCTGTGGTTGAGATCTTGAAAGAGTACAGATCAATGCTACTTGGATTTCCAATTGTGGTCCATACAGACCATAAGAACCTCATTTATCCAACGGAAAATTCCTTACGGGTCAAGCGCTGGAAATTACTTTTGTCGGAATACCATATCACGTGCAAGCACATTCCAGGGAGAGACAATATCGCTGCAGATGCGTTTTCTCGAATGACGTACGACACGAGTAAGAAGACAGGAAATGCTGAGCTAGAAGCCCTGTTAATCGATCCGGTTGAGTGTGTGCTTGACGGAAATTACATCAAGCAACACCAGGATGCAGACTCGACCACACAAAACATAGTGCAAACATGTATGAACGGCACCAACAATCCCGATTATCAGATCGAGAACATAATGGGTGCACGTCTTCTTAGTTGCCAGCATCGTGTTGTGATTCCAAAGGAATTACGTCAAGAATTGGTGGAATGGTATCACACTCAGTTGGTTCATCCAGGTGCGAAACGCCAATATCACACGATGAAGTCGTTTTACTATTGGTCCGGTATGGAGCGTACAATCGTAGATTTCGTGAAGAAGTGCTTAACATGTAAGCGTGCCAAGCTACACGGTGGGCCACAAGCGTATGGCAAACTACCACCGCGTCAAATGCATAACGTCGATCCATTTGATGTAGTGCATGTGGACACCATGGGACCGTATGGTAGTGACCGATACTACGCCTTAACCGTGATTGATGAAGCCACGAGATGGTTAGAAGTATCGATCCAAGAGAACAACAAAGGAAAAACCACTGCAGAGAACTTCGACGTGACGTGGTTATGTCGTTATCCAAGACCAAAGGAAGTTGTATTCGATCGAGGTAATGAGTTCAACACAACAGAGTTCCGTGAGATGCTTGCGAGCTATGCAGTCAAGCCGAAACCAATATCCTCGAAGAATCCTCAAGCCAATGCAATTTGTGAACGAGTACATTTGGTACTAAACAACTGTATTCGCTGTTATCCGGAGGCAGACTGGTGTCAAGTTATTCAATACGCTGCATTCGCAGTACGTGCAAGTTTTCACACGATTCTGGATACAACACCTGCACATCTGGTCTTTGGGCAGGACTTGATTACACGACAACTTCATGAAACGAATTGGAGTTATCTCACTAAGCGCCGATTTGAAGCCAT